CCCCCAATTCCAATACTGTAACACACACCTCCTATAAAAAGAGCAACCCTCTACGCCACCCGTCCACACGGCCCAAGTCTTCCCCTGTCGCGCCCTCCCCGCAACCAACATGCATCTACCCCGCCTACTCCTGATCGCCGCTTTCGCGCTGGCCCTCCTCCCTCCCGCCAATTCGCGCCCGCCTTCACGCGCCTTCCACCACCCCTGCAGCTACGGCTGCCGCTTCACCTTATGCACGGGCACGACGCGCCTGCTGCTCACGACGCCCAACACGGGCATGCTGCCGCGTCTCTGTCTCCCGGGCTCGTACCTGGGGCGGGTGCTGCGCACGGGCGAGCCGCGCGTGTCGCGGTCCGGCATGGGGCACGCGTACCCCATCTCCAAGTGGCGGCCGTCCGGGCTGTCGGTGCCGTTCCCGCGCGACGCCTTCTTCGCGCACGAGATCCGCGGCATGGACGCGTCCGGCGTGGCACGGCGGCGCGCGCGCGGCAACCAGCACACGTTCCTCGCCGGGTTGTGCGTGGTGCTACCGATCCGCGAGTGGGAGGTGATGAACGAGGGCGGCGAGGTGGTGCGCAGTCGGCGCGGCGGGAAGGGGGCCTGCGTGTCGTTCCGGGCCGTGGCGGCGCGGGTGGTGGTGGAGCTGCGGTGGTACTCCGGGGACGACCTGGACCTGGTGGTGACGGAGCCGGACGGGGACAGGGTGGGCGTGTGGAAGAGGAGCTCGGAGAGCGGGATGCTGTGGGCAGACGAGGGCGTGGATATGTGCGGGGTGGGCAAGATGAACGGGGAGAAGGCGGTGTGGCAGGTGGCGGAGCTGGTGCAGGGGGGGAGGTATCTGGTCAAGGTCAAGGTTGGGGGGCTGTGTGAGCAGGGCGGAGCAAAGTGGACGGTCGGGGTGAGCGTGGGCGGCAAGATGGTGAAGAAAGTGACGGGGGAGATAGGCGGGCAGATGGGAGGGGTTGTGCCTGGGAGCGTGTTTCAGTTTTCGGTTTGAACTACGTTTTGCACGAGTTAATTAACAAAAAAAACAAACAAACAAATTCTTGCGTCGACACGCGTTTGTCGTGTACTACGTGTCCAGGCACGCAGGTTTGGTTGAACTATTAACTATACTTTACCAGCTACGTTTTGCACTTGTTAACAAACGAATTAATACGTGGACACGCGTTTGTCGTGTACTACGTGTCCAGGCACGCAGCGGCTGTAATTGACAAATACAACTAGGTTTTGTATGAGTTAATTGACAAATTAGCGTTGTCGTGTACGGTTGTCGGTTGTCGTGTACCACGGTGGACACGTGTGTCCACGCAAACAGAGCGGCTGTTTACAGCCGCTCTGTATCCCCGCTTTGGGCTTTCCGTCCTTACATAAGGACGGAAAGCCCAAAGCGGGGTACACGCTACCCACAGATGATGACTCTGCACTCTGCGCGGCTTCTTCGCCCACAGACTGCGCGATGGATCCCACCGATCAGTCATCCATCACCACCGACATTCTCACTTGAGACCCGCTTCCGACTCCGTGCAAACACCGCTCCCTTCTACCCTCACTTCTACCAAAAAACCCCCCGCACTCAACACA